GTCGTTGTCTGATATCATAGTTGCTTCAGCAGGACCGCTCGGTTTCGATTCTTCACGAATCTCTTCAGCTTCTGTTTGACGCGTGGCAACTTTAAGTTGAATGTTTCTCAGGGAAAGGTAGAGAAGTTTCTCAATTCCGTTCCCGCTCGGATGGTTGTTTGGTGATCCTTTTTATACCGGAATAGTCTGTAGTTAGGATCGAAGTTGTAGCTTTCCTATTGGTCCTCCCTGAAGCGAGAGGGCCAATGAGGTGTAAGGGATTTTCGATCCGGTAGAGTGAGAAGCTACAGTGTGTTTCTTTGTAAGGCTATTTTTAAGCTTAGGCCTCCCAAATGGAAGCGAAATCGCTCAAGAGTACTATAATATACTTTCACGCTGTGTTGCGCATTATACTCCGTCGAGGACAAGGCCTCGGGTGTTTTTAAGCGTTGTAATTTGCGTATTATACTCTCGTTTCGTACATGTATACAAGCTGTGTACATTTGAATGCTTTCACGCAGGGACGGGACACTGTCTGGAAAATTTCACTGCTGAAAACAAAAGATATGACAGGCCTACACGGACTCCCCTCGTAAATTGCGATAGCGATGCATTTTAGCCTTCAATTAAATTCTCGTTCTAACGAGCGTATCTTTTAGAGATTTGCCTCTCTTATATGATATAATCGGAGGTTTAGTATAGATGCTTTTCAGCAACGGCTGGTTTTGTATTACAACCCAGACAAAAGTGGTCTGGGTTGCGATAGTGAATCTTCGTAAGCATCATTTTGTTTGTCCTCCGCCATGTCTTCTTCGTTGTTCCGTAGGAGGACAGTAAGAAGGTATTCTTGGGACTGTGTAATTGACATCCTCGTCACCAGATATACTTAGTAGTAAGTCGTTGTTGTCGAACCCGTACAATACTTCTCCAAAAGGAATTCCACACTATTTTACTAATACTTCTTATTAACTTGCTAGTCCTTTTGTCCCAGGTGGTTGTTTCAGTTACTGATACGTCAACTGAAAAATTGGCGCTTCACACCTCAAGAAATTCTACGTCTGCCTGTGTGAATCTTCAAAAGATAGCCTTCACGACAGTCTTCTTTATATCTGAAAACTGAGCTGAAGCAGGCACTTCGAGACTTGGTCTCCACTGGGCTCAGTGAGAAAGTATACCCGTTACAATCTACAAATAAACGGATGTACATGTTTCAGTCAACCACGCGCTACTAAAGGGGTGTTTTCAGAACATGGTATAGATAAGAGAAAACTTGTTTCGAGACACTGCCAAGGACCGAAATCCTTCTCACTTACCCATCTTAAGCTACAAACCATTAATCAAGGACTGCTCAAGTGAAATAACTGGCTAACAGGCTATAAATGTTAATGTCGTGGGTCAATATAACCCTTAGTACAATTTGGTATTTTCCTTTCAGCAGAACTAAGGAAAATATCAAATTTGTACCGAAGGTAAAAAAGGTAGAAGAAAACTAGAAATGAAAATTATAACACAAATTGTTTTAAATTATTTCCTATTCCAAGATGAAAAATATGTACTTACGAGAAAAATGTACGGTACTTTATCCATTTAGTCCACTGTCTTAAAAACTGTTTTAATCAGGTTACCGTTATTTATACCAATGTGTTTTTGAGAAGTTGCACTATGTAACCGGTCAAAAATGGCAATAATTTGTTTTCAAAACGAGCGCCTTAAAGCCAGGGTACTGAAAAAATGTCATGCAAGCTTCACAGTCAACGTAACGTTGCCGATTTATTATCTTTGGTGGCTCAACAACCGGGAGGTTTCGGTTTCCTTTGAACATTCCACAACAACAAAACATCGATCAACCTCTTACCTTAGAACTTAAAATCGCTATTTGGAACATTCATTCATTGGATTATTCATTTAATTGTTTATTTTCCTCGTTCCTTTAAATTTTTATGTGATATTTGGTCTTTATATAGATCCTACATTATGTGAAAATATGGCTGATTCAAATAGCAAAGAAT